CTGTGTTTTTGAGTCACCAGCGTGTGACAAGCTGGGTTTGGCTATCTGTCCCAGGGGCCGAGGATGCTGGGTTCCTTTTCCCACTGAGAAACGGAAAGAATCCCTCCTGCTCTTTTCCAGTCAAGGGACTCTTAGTTTTGCTGGCAAAGGGGCCAAGACCTGTACCTCGATCCCAGGGGCACGCACTTGACTGGGGACCTGGGCTGCTCACCAACTGGTGCCCTCTGGGCTTATGTTCCTCCCCGGTGCAGCAGAGGAGGCAGAAATGAATGATCCCACAGAGCCACACAGAGCTGTACCGCCATGTAAGTCCCAGGAAACATGAAAACAAAGTCCCGACTGTTCCCAAGTCAGCTCAAAGCCCAGTCTCCACCAGGCCCCAATGGCCACACCAGGGGGCAGGTGCCCCTCTGAGAGGGTCTGCACCTGGTGCTTCTCACCAGGCTTGCGTTAACATAGATGAGACTAGGGTCAAGGCCGGCTACTCAGCCAGAGGTGTGAGCAGACCCGGAGCACCCAGCATAGTAAGGGGCACATCTCGACTCCGCAGATGCTCAAGTCCAGGTATGGGGCAGACACTGTGCTGGGGCGTGGGCCCCATGAAACCAACACTTTCCTAAAATGCCCAAGCGCCTGGGTGTCCTCTGACTCCCCTGCTGTTAAGAGCCCCCCTGAACAGTCTGGGAAACTCGGGCAAGAACTGGGTTCAAGGAAGAAGGAGAGGCTCCCCTCTAAGACTTGTGAATCAAAGGTTCACTCCTGCTCCCAACACTGCAGCGCCCCATCTGCCCAGCACTCCCTCAAATCCACACTTCTCTCTACAGAAAGCAAATGTCAGCCAGAAACTTCTGCTGTCAGTAAGGGACCCCATGTCCTCATGTTCCCAAGCGAGACTGCAAATCTATGAGGCAGGAAGAAATAGGCCCCATCCCCACCTCAATGCTGACTTCTCAGGCTCAGAGCCGCCACCCAGGACCCCCAGCACGGGCAAGGTCCAGGGCCAAGACCCTCGGGGCCAGAATCAGGCCCAAGAATGCCTAAGTCAGGCCCAGCCCTATGCAGCACCCCAAAACAAACTGTGGTAGCTGAAGGGAGGGTACAGGCGTGGTTGGGCCCCAACCCTCAGACCAGAGGAGCCAGGAAAAAGAAACAGGCCGTCCTCCGGAAGGTCGAGGCCTCAGGTCTGAAATCCTCGGCTGCCAGGCCTCCTTACAGGGACAGCTCTGGCTCTGAGGCTTGGGGGTCCTGGGCACCTTGCCCGGGGGAGTCTTGGGGCTGGGGGAGGAGAAGAGGCCTGTTTTCACCCACCTCATGGACTGGCTTCCCCATCTGGAAGCTCAGAGGACTCGGGTCTCCCATCAGGAAGCAGCCGCACCCCCCGCCCCACCCCTGCTGGGCCTCAGAAGGACAGCCTTTGGAGTTGAGCCAACACGGAAAACGGCACCGGCCAGAACAGCCCACTCCTGCCTGCCAGCCCTCACCCGCAGCTTCTGAATACACATCACCCTGACTGGGCGGGGGGTTCATCTACCTCTCAGTCGAACAGAGGAAGGAAACGGAACATTTAAAAATAGCTAAAGCTTGGTGAGCAGTTGCCAGGTGCCAGGCATGGTGCCAGTGCCGCTGGCCATGTGCCACCTCTTGGGATCTCAGCAAGGAGGACCTGGCACCC